AGGCGCCGTCGATAAACTGAGCCAGATTGTTGTTTTCCGATTCACTCATCTGTGTTTCGATTTCGTCAATGTAATTGTTTCGCAGAGGAATTCATTGGATCTTTTTGGGTTCGTAGTAATAACTTCCTTCTAAGACAGGGTGATAATAATTCTGTCGCAACAGGTCTGTCGTCTGATCACCCATGAGGACGGGAACACCAAACAAGGCACGAATCTTCTGCTAGCACGCTCTACCTGTACTCGTCTCTCTGTGCTCTGTGCAACTTTAATTTTATATTATTTTATCATATACGTCACTTTTTCTTACACGCGACTTAATTTTTTATCAGATCAGATCTTACACGCCTGAATATGATTTACGAGCTGTAAACTGGATGTGTTCTTATGCACTGAATCATCGATTTGTCAAGAATACCATTCGAAGTTACATCTACGCTATAAAGTTATACTTACATCAAAATTTTTTTTTTTATTAGTACATGTCAAACTTTGTGATGAGTTTCAACAACAATTTTCAGAAACCTGTGGTACAAATCCTGAAACCGCCTTTTATGATTTAGTTTTTGATCATCTGGTATCACCTTGCATTAATGAGTTTCTTGGATTATATTCACAATATCATCGAGGAATGCGATGTTATTCTCATGTAAACTTTTTTATGGGAGTACGATTATCTGCACTCGATAGATATTATCTTCATTAAATTAAATCATTTTTTCTTTTAGATCAGTACTAGAGAACGTCATGCTATTCACGAATTATTATTTTGTATTTTATTGAAAATAAGAAGGAGAGGCATGAATCTAGCTTTTCAATTTAATAACGTAGAGTTTTATATCAAAGTGAATCGTGTTTATGCTTTAAACGAATTGTTTCACTGCTTTTTTCATGATGACGTAAGATTATCTTTAGGATATAACACGAAGTTAGAATTCATTTTACATGTAAATAATATGGTAACCATTTGTACTTTTTGACTTTTTTAGATGAATGTAAACCACTTATACCACCCTGAAGAAATTGAAGATCTTTACGCATTATTCTGTTTGATTGTAACTGAATTAAGAACAGAAGGATTCAATCTATCTTTTCAATTTGAAAATTTCGATTTTTTAAGAAATGTACTTCGTGTGTATGATTTATATACATGGTTTCGTTTTTTTTTTTATGATGAAGTGGGAAGACGCTCAGAGTATTATTGGTTAGCCAACTTCTTAATTCATTAAGTGTAGGTGATACAGTAACCATCTTCACTTTTTGATTTTTTCAGACTGAATTTCCCGTGGAAGATTTTCGTCAATTCTTTAATGCGTTGCATGCGTTTTTAATGAGTGAGCATGAAGAATTGTTATTACTGTTTACGAACGTCAACTTTTTCACTTTTGTCAATGCGTATATGCTCAATCTTTCAATAGTTCAATATGGCTTTACTAATTATGAAGATCCACCCGTGATTGAAAATGCAGATTGGTTAGCTACATTTAATAATAGACATGTACACAATTCCATCATTCATTTCTATTCGTTACCCATATAACTTTTTTTTAATTTGGTGTAT